ATAACATAATATTACAGATGTAAAAGAGAGATAAAGAGATAACGGTAACAAGGATCTAGCGAAGAGTCTGGCATATACTGACATTGATCACGTAAGTTATACCCAAAGAAAAAATTTAAATTAAATTAATATCTTAGATATAGAAGAGAATTAGAGAGAAAAATTTAACATAGATTTAGCCAAGGGACAATCATATGTTGACGGTGGGTCCGTAAGGTGTAACCGTAAATAAAAGTTAAGACAAATTAATATTTTAGATATAAAAGACAGTTAGAGAGGTAAAAGTGGCATGCATCTACCCAAGTAAAAGCATGTAGTGTTTTTCAGATCAGCACATTAAACAACTCTGGATTCTGTAACTTTAACAACTCTGGAAGTTAGTTTTGATTGCATAATCGCTTAACACATGAAACCATTATAGAAACCCCTGTTAAACTTCACATCTAGCTATGCACTTGTAATTAACATTTTTTTAATTAATTATTTTAAAAATAAAACAAAATAATTCTTTTCAAACTTTAATGCAGAAAGGTTAAAGTGACATGGAAAAAATTATTTTTTTCCTTTTTTTGCAATTATATTTGATATAAAATTCAATTAAGTTAGATACATGCAAACAGATAATATCTAAGTGAATAACAGCGGTTAGATACAAAAAAAGTGTTCGCATAGATATGAATGAATAAATATACTTGTTCACATTTATTAAATAATGAACAATTTTTTACTGCAAAAAAATGTAGAAAAAAATATCTTTAAGTAATTTTAATAGTGTCAAGGTAAAGTTTTCAATTTAAATCGCGGAGCAAATACGAGTACCCGTACTCGTACTCAAAGTCTACGCGAAATATCTTTAAAGACTTTTATTTTCAATTTTTATGCTTTAATGCGAGAAACGTGATTTGAAGTGATTTTGGTAAATGGCACGTTTGGCTTTTGAATTTGAAAGTTGCAAGATCGACTAAAAGAAAAAACTTTCTTTTATATAAAACAATAAAATTTCATGTACACGTAGCTGAAGTTTAAAATTAAAGATACTACTTTTGCTTTTAGTAAAATAAGCAAAATTTGACTATTTTCACACGCTACTCATCGGACTAAAATCAAACCTGAGATTTTTTTTGCTTGTATTGTAAAGTTTTTCACTACAAGAAAATTCATTTTAGAGATTAAGTTTATTTCATACGTAAGATAGAGTAATATTTTGAGATTGATGCTGCAACTGCAATACTAACCATTAAAATTTATTTCATTTTGTTTTCAACAACAAGCGGTAACCATCCTTTTATATGAAAAAACTCTTAAGACATAAAAAGTAGAATTAAGATTTATAAGAAAACAGGA